GAGAAGCCTTCCTGCTCCTCTGATGCTGCTTGGCCTGCTGTGTTCATCCAGCTCTACACCTTGTTATGACAGAGGATATGCTCAGTGTGAAGATGGGAACTGTCTTCACAATCATTGTGCAGATATTGATACTCCCTTTTCTGTCAAGGTTAAGTTTAGGTACAACATGTAGATTGGCAAGATCAAACAGGTTTTACCATCTTCTGTCACAATCTATCTCACACAGCCATGTCCTGCAGAATTTGGCAGGTTCAGTCCTTAGTGGTGCTACCAAGCCACTCTTAGAGATGCATACTAAATTCCTCAATCCACTGTATATCTTGTGTCCCTTGCCTGCTCTTTACCTCCTTCAAGTAATGATCAATGTGAAGGAGTACTTATTTATCAGCTGAAGAAGGGCAGTAAAGGTAATCAGTAGGAACTTTACTTGACCATGTAACACCATTAGACGGAGTTTCATGAGCTCCACAAGGTGTAGAACATCACTGACTGCCTGTTTAATTCACTGAGGGAAAGCCAAATGTTCTGATTTGCATTTTGTTAAAGCAATAATTTAAGTTGTTTGTTTTTTTTAGCACATCGTTTTCAACTCCATAACAAACTGCTTGGGACCACGAAAGTTGCTGTACAGTGGAAAACTTTACAAAACAAAGAGCAACAAAGAATTATACGGCTTCCTTTTCAATGATTTCCTGCTGCTTACCTACATAGCAAAACAAACGTTTATCTCATCAGGCTCCGAAAAATTGTTCAGCTCTAAGTGTAATTCTCAGTTTAAAATGTACAAAACGGTAGGTTGGTAAAAACAAGTATAAATATCACCTCAAGTGAACTTAAGAATGCACGAATGACATGTAAATTGTAGATCTAGAATTAGCACTTGCTTTGTTGATAACAGGCAGCAATATATAAACAAATATGAAGGGATTCCTCCCTTTCAGGTTCCTTTCTCCCCTGCCCCCACAAAAGCACCCAGTCGTGCTGGATTCCATTTCCAAGCAAGTCTTTAACAATTAACAAAGTTAGGTCCCATGGGATTCAGGGTGAGCTTGCCAACTGGATACATAATTGGCTTAATGGCAGAAGACAGAGGGTGGTGTTGGAGAGTTGCTTTTCGGACTGGAGGTCTATCGCCAGTGGTGTTCCGAGGGATCAGTTCTAGGTCCTGTTTTGTTATGTCATCTATATAAATGATTTGGATGAGAATATAGAAAGGATGGTTAGTAAATTTACAGATAACACCAAAATAGGTAGCACAGTAGACAGTGAAGAAGGTTTTCTAAGATTACAAGGGGATCTTGATCAAATGGGTCAACGGGCTGAAAAATGGCAAATGGAGTTCAATCTGGATAAATGTGAAGTAATGCATTTTGGTATAACAAACAGCGACAGGACTTATACAGTTACTGATACGAATTTGGGTAGGGTTGTAGAACAGAGGGACTTAGAGGTTCAATTACGTAATTCTTTGAAATTTTCTTCACAGATAGACAGGGTGGTTGAAAAGGTGTTTAGCACGCTTGCCTTCATTGCTCAGTATTAGGAGTTGGGAAGTCATGTTAAGGTAGTACAGGACATTGGTAAGGCCTCTTCAGGAGTACTGTGTGCAGTTCTGGTCACCCAATTATAGAAAGGATATTATTAAGCTAGAGAGGGTTTAGAAGAGATTCACCAGGATGTTGCTGGGTATGGAAGGTTTAAGTTATAAAGATAGGCTGGGACTTTTTTCACTGGTGGTAGGAAGTTGAGAGGTGACCTTATAGAGGTTTATGAAATCATGAGGAGTACAGATAGGGTTTATAGTAGGTTTCTTTTCCCTAGGATGGGGGATTCCAAGACTGAGGGCATATCTTTAAGGTGAGAGGAGAAAGATTTTTAAGACATGAGGAGCAAATTTTTTACACAGAGGGTGGTTCGCATGTGGAATGAACTTCCTGAGGAAGTAGTAGATATAGGTACAATTACATCATTTAAAAGACAGTTGGATAAGTACATGAATAGGAAAGGTTTGGAGGGATATCGGCCAGGAGCAGGCAGGTGGGACTAGTTTAGTTTGGGATTATGTTTGGCATGGACTAGTTGGACCAAAAGGGTGTGTTTCCATGCTGTATGATTCTGTGGCTCTATAACAGCTTGTTATACAGCTTCTATATGTTCTAAATTGCTACAAGGCACTTCATAGCAGCATTAGCAAACAAGATTTGACATGACCCACCTCAGGCGATATTGGGACAGGTGACTATCATCTTGGTCAAAGATGTAGATTTGAAGAAATATCCTAAAGGAGTTGAAATTGATAGACAAAGAGACTTAAGGAGAGAATTCCAGAGCTTAGTACCCAGCTATCTAAAGGCTTACTCCAATGGATATAGAAGCAGGAATGGTGTATGTCAGGGAGTTATACTTGGAGGAAACCATAAAATTAAGAAGACTGAATCAGAACAATTAAATGAGTTGTAGTGAATTTCACGTTAAAAGAGACTGAGGGAAAGCCTCAATAGATATGCTGTTTTTTTTACTATTTTCATTTAAACCAGGCATTGAGGTATCATTCTGAAAGATTTTGCACAGTACAGACTCCATAGAACAAAAGTGTACTTTTTGAATGCTTTGAAACGTTTCAAAGAGCAGCTGTTTCCAGAAAGCTCTCTCTTTTTGGTATTTATTTAACCTATCTTTCTAACCAACCTGTTCAGAGATCTTGTTTACACACCTTTGGAACAGGTGGATCTTGAACCCAGGCCTCCCAGTCCAGGGGTAGGGACACCACCATTGCACTACAAAAAGGTCCTTCCATATTTTTTTCAGTTTGTTGTTCATAAATGTTAGCTGGCAACAATTAGTTCAGTTTACTCACAAGATGCTTCATTCTTTATGGCTGCATGGTCAGGATTGATCACTTAGAGGTCTATAACGAATGACAGTATTCACTTACGTTCTCTGTTTCTGATTTGATTAGCCTGTTTTCTTGAATGAAGTTCTTGTGAAACTGCCAACTGATCCATCAAGTGATGATCCAGTCTTTCACATTTCACACATTGATAGGGTGTACACACTAAGAGTGGAATCTTTAAATGAGAGGTGAGTAGCATCAATCTGCTGTGATTATTGTTAGCAGGTTCTTATACATCGGTTTAGTAAGTAACTTCTGGAACTTTCCTACAACTTAACAGATGTGAATGATTATTCCTAACAGAATGCTCAGCTTTTTGAAATATCAGTTGTCACAACAGGCCACAAATGAGCTGAGATAGTGTACTGGCAGTAACTCTGCAGTGTGAAGAAAGGAGTATTGCATTGTCATTCGTAGTACAAGGGTTACTTATCCCAGCTGGACCATCAGGGAAAAGTCAAAAGACAAAGACAAATGAATGCTCACTCGCTCCCAGGTTCTCTTATACAATTTTTACAATAGAGTACGACCAGGTGAGTCTCAAGCACTAATTGTGCAAATATTTTCTCTCAGGAGCAGTTAGGTTGAAAATGCACAACAAGTCAGACAGTATCGGTAGGAACAGAAACAGAGTTTTGAGGGAATTGCAAGGAGAGAGTTGTAGTTGAGTCAGAAGCAAGGGCAGAAGACAGCTCTCAGTGGGCTCCAATCTTTCCTGGTTTCTATTCCCTTAGTCAGGTATTGATTGCCTTTGGTCCACGGATCCTTTCCTACACCCCGGAGATGATTAGCTTGGTGTACTGGTTTAGCTACAGTGTATGCTGTGTGGCCTCAGGGCCACCTGCAGCTGTGTTAAACCTAGCCACAGTGAGATCAGGCCCTTAAGTGATACTTGAATGAGGGGCCTCAGTTGGTGGCAGGCTGGATAGTTTGATAACAGGTTTTTCTGTTCTTCATGGCAGTGGCAGAAAGGCAGCGACGTTCAGTTATGCCACTACCTTACCGAATTACATATCCTTTCCATCTTTAAATTCTCAGAAGATTCCACTGATTAATTTTGTTCCACTTTCCACAAGTCAAAATCACACAACACCAGATTATAGTCCAACAGGTTTTTTTTTGAAACCACAAGCTTTTGGAGCCTCACTCCTCCTTCAGGTGTTAGTGAGAGAGGTGGCATCAGACACAGAATTTATAAACAAAAGATCAAAGGGTCATTGAACTGATGCGAATGTATTGAACAATTCTAAGATAGCTGTTAAATCTTCAATCAGTTAGAAAGGATATGTAGGTTTTGATTGATTAATATGCAAATCACAGAATTTCTTTAAAGTCACTGCCCTGAGATAACTAAAGGTTTATCAGTATACCAGAGGTGACATCTCAATTCAGACAATGCATTGTTGGTATGAGGCCTTGTTTAGAATCTGTCTCTGTTTTAACTTGGAGTCAGACTGGTTTTATTTTCAAACTAAGTGTTTCTAAAATGCCACATTGTCTACAAATTGTGTGCTTTTTAAACAAAATAGAATGAATCTGTAAATGCAAATTCACCCCATAGATTTGTGTGTGTGCGTGTGAAAGGGAAAGAGAGTGAGTGTGTGGATGTGTGTGTGTGTGTGTGTGTGTGTGTGTGTGAGAGAGAGAGGGAGAAAGAGTGTGTGTGTGAGAGTGTATAGTGTGCTGCGGTCACCCAAGATCCCAGTTAAGGCCGTCCTCATGGGGAACGAACTTGGCTGTCAGCCTCTGCTCAGCAACTCTGCGTCGTTCTGTAACCAAAGTCCGCCTTGGAGGACGTTTACCAGAAGATCCAAGGCTGAATGTCCTTGGCTGCTGAAATGTTTCACCACTGGGAGGGAACAATCCTGTCTGGCAATTGTTGCGCAGTGTCCATTCATCCGTTGTTGTAGCGTCTGCATGGTCTCACCAATATACCATGCCTCGGGGCATCCTTGCCTGCACATGAGTCACATGAGTTTCTTCCATGAACGTGGTGGATGGTGTCCCCACATGTGGTAGTAGTGTCCATGTCAATGATCTGACGTGTCTTGCAGAGGTTGCCGTGACAGGGTTGTGTGGTGTTGTGGTCAACATTGTCCTGAAGGCTGGGTAGTTCGCTGCGAACAATGGTCTGTTCAACATTTGGCAGTTGTTTGAAGGCGACAAATGGAGGAGTGAGCAAGATCTTGGCAAGGTGCTCATTGTCATCGATAATGTGTTGAAGGCTGCAAAGAACATGGCGTAGTTTCTCTGCTCCCGGGAAGTACTGGACGACAAAGGGCACCCTATCAGACGTATGCCATGTCTGTCTTCTGAGGAGGTCATTATGGTTTATGGAGTAGTATGTTGGAACTGGCGATCAATGAGTTGAGCGTCGTATCGTGTTCCTGTGAGGGCGCCCTTCAGCACCTTCAGGTGCCTGTCACATTCCTCCTCAGCCAAACAGATCCTGTATATGGGTAGGGCTTGTCTGTAGGGGATGGCTGTTTTAATATAGTTGGGTGGAAGCTGGAGAAATGCAGAATCGTGAGGTTATCTGTAGGCTTGCAGTAGAGTGAGGTACTGAGGTGTCTGTCCCTGATGGAGATGTGTGTGTCCAGGAATGGGACTGACTCTAAAGGGTAGTCCATGCTAAGTCTGTTGGGATGAAAGTTGTTGATATCGCTATGTAGTTGTTTCAGTGATTCCTCACCATGAATCCAAAGGAAGAAAATGTCATCAGTATATCTGGTGTATAGCGTTAGTTGGAGGTCCTATGCAGCAAAGATGTCTTGTTTGAACATGTACGTGAAAATGTTGGCATATTGGGGAACAAATCTGGTTCCCATGGCTGTTCCATCCGTCTGGATGAAGAACTGGTTGTCGAGGGTGAAGATGTTGTGGTTGAGGCTGAAGCAGATGAGTTATAGAATGGCGTCTGGAAATTAGCAGTTGGTGGTATTGAGTACTGAGGCTGTTGCGGTGATGCCGTCGTCATGGGTGATGTGGGTAGAGTGCCAAAACGTCCATTGTGACAAGGAATGTTCCTGGTTTGACTGGTCCGTGGGTGCTGAGTTCCTGTAAGAAATCTGTAGTGTCATAACAGAAGCTGGGGATTCCCTGTACAATGGGTTTCAACATGGCCAGAGAGGTTCTCACACAGTGTATAGAAACTCAACTGAACTGATTCAAAGCATGAAATACTTGGACATGTTTCTAAAACGTGTTGCTGTTTCTTTTTAAGATTTATTATTTTTCTATTCCCCAATGTGTCGTAGATCAGAATACATAGACAAGTATCTCTGAACAAGTTCGACCAATGCTTTTAAAGTTTTGGTGAATTGTCTCTCCTTAACTTCTCAACAGGACTGCCTGGGTTCAAAAGATTAAAGCAGCATCTGAACACTTTATAGAAACTGAGAAAGGGAAACGTGAAAAAGCTTATCAAGGTATACATCTTAAACTCTCTTTTTTCCAAATTTAGCCTACTTCCACTTTAATTTTATTTTTTGTCCATTTATGGAATGTGAATGCTGACCCAGCATTGATTGCCTATGCCTATTTACATAGATATATAGAAACATAGCAAATAGGAGCAGGAGGAGGAGGCCATTCGGCCCTTCAAACCTGCTCCGCCATTCATCACAATCATGGCTGATCGTCCAGCTCAATAGCCTAATCCTGCTTTCTCCCTGTAACCTTTGATCCCATTTGCCCCAAGTGCTATATCTAACCATCTCTTGAATACATTCAATGTTTTGGTATCAACTACTGCCTGTGGTAATGAATTCCACAGGTTCACCACTCTTTGGGTGAAGAAATGTCTCCTCTTCTCCGTCCTGCATCATCTACCCCGAATCGTCAGACTGTGACCCCTAGTTCTGGACCCAGCCACCATTGGGAACATCCTCCCTGCATCTACCCTGACTTTTCCTGTTAGAACTTTATAAATTTCTATGAGAACCCCCTCTTTTGTCTGAACTCCAGCAAAAACAATCCTAACCTAGTCAATCTCTCCTGATGACACCAAAATTCATGTTAGAGTGGACAGTAAAGAAGATTATCTAAGATTACAAAGAGATCTCAATCAATTGGATGAATGGGTTGAGGAGTGATAGGTACACTTTAATTTGGAAAAATACGAGGTATTACATTTTGATAAAACAAACAAGGGAAGGACTTATACAATTAATGGTAAGGCCCTGGGTAGTGTTGTACAACAAAGGGACTTAGGGGTTCACGTAGATGATTCTTGAAATTTGCTTCACAGGTAGACAGAGTTGCTAAGAAGGCATTTAGTGTGCTTGCCTTCATTGCTCAGACCTTTGAGTCATGATGAGGCTGTACTGGACATTGTTGAGGCCTCTTCTGCCATTCTGGGCACCCTGCTATGGGAAGGATATTATTAAATTGAAGAGGTTTCGGAAAAGATTTACCAGGATATTGCTGGGAATGGAGGATTTGAGTTATAAGGAGATGCTGGATAGGCTGGTACTTTTTTAACTGGAGCATAGGAGGTTGAGGGGTGACCTTAGAGGTTTATAAAATCATGAGGGGTATAGATAAAGTGAGTAGCAAGGTTCTTTTCCCATGGTGGGGGAGTTCAAAACTAGGAGGCATATTTTTAAGATGACAGGAGAAAATTTTAAGGGCATGAGGAGCAACATGTTTACACAGAGACTGGTTCGTGTGTGGAATGAACTGCCAGAGGAAGTAGTGGATACAGGTACTGTTAGAACATTTAAAAGTCATTTGGATAAGTACATGAATAGGAAAGATTCGGAGGGATATGGGCCAAATGCAGGCAAGTGGAGCTTGTTTAATTTGGGAATACGGTCTAGTGAACTAGTTGGACTGAAGGGTCTGTTTCCATAACTATGACCTTGCTTTTTGTCTTGTAGCCCGGTCACAGAAGACAAGTGGAATAGGACGACTTCTTGTGAGCATTATTGAAGCAACAGAATTGAAAGCCTGCAGGGCAAATGGTAGGATGCAATAATTATCACTGTTTTGATTTGGTCAACATTTGTTGCAGCAAACAATTAATGATCAGATTTATGAAGTAAAGTGTTTATTATGATTTTATTTGAGTCTGTGTTCAAGATTAATTTCTGCTATGAAATATTAATTCAGTTAATACAAATGTGAAAAAATACATTGACGTTTGTCATTTCAATGATTTCATTTATTTTTATGGATTATCATTTATCAAAACATAATTGAGGTAGCTTTCATCTAAGCGCTGCTGGGACCAGTGTCCTGTGATCGTTATAAGTACAGCAGCGGTGAGCGTTTTAAGGTAAGTAACAAACAAAAGCAAATTGCTGGAAAAGCTCAGCAAGTCTGACAGCATCTGTGGCAAGAAATCAAAGTTAATTTTTTGTATCCAGCGACCCTTCCTCGGAAATAGGTCACATGAAGGAAAGTATGGTAGAATAAAGAGAAAGGACAAAGGAATTGTGCAGGATAGCAACATAGGCAATGATAACTAGAGTGTGGAAGGAAGGGACAGAGTGCATAAAGTTAAAAGTACATCAGCAGAAAGATTCTGAATGTGAATGTGTGCAGCATTCGTAAGAAAAGAGATGAATTGATAACACAAATAGAAATAATATGTATGACTCGAGAGCCATTTCAGAGACATGGTTCTAAGGTGACCAAGATTGGGACCTAAATATTCAATGGTATTTAACATTTAGGAAGGTCTGGAATCTAGAAGGTGGGTGATGCGGTAGCTATTTTATTTAAGGGTGGCATGAATACAACGATGACAGATGACCTTGGTTCAGAAAATCAAGATGTAAAAAATTTTGGATAAAGATAAAAAATAATAAAGGGCCTTTTTTGCATCTCTTCGGGATTGGTTAATATTCCACTTGGTCTTGTGCGTTCTGAGGTGACAAAATAGTCTAGTAAAGGATCTTACCAATGCCATGGGAGATGGTTTTTGCTGAAGCAAGCGGGTGAAATGTTCTCTGTCCATGACTGGACTTAAAGAATAGGGATAAATGGGGTCATATTTGGCATTGGTAAGTAGTTACTAGTGGTGTGCAGGGACCAGTACTTCCATTGTTTACAATCTATACAATGACTTAGATGATGGGACTGAATGTATGGTAACTAAATTTGCTGATGATACACGACCAATAATATGTAGAATCATAGAACCCCTATAGTATTACAGCAGGCCTTTCTGTCCACCGAGTCCACACCAACCCTCCAAACAGCATCTCACCAAGATTCACCCCCCTACTCTAACTCTATAACCCTGCATTTCCCATGGCTAATCTACCTAACCTACACATCTCTGGACAATATGGGCAATTTTAGCATGGCCAATCCACCTAACCTGCACATCTTTGGACTGTGGAAGGAAACCGAAGCACCAGAAGGAAACCCACACAGACACGGGGAGAATGTGCAAACTCCACGTGGATAGTTGCCCAAGACTGGAATGGAACCTGGGTCCCTGACGCTGTGAGGTAGCAGTGGTAACCACTGAGCCACCGTGCCATACAGTAAGATGTCAAGAGGACATAAGGTGTCTGCAAAGGAATATATATAAAAGTGGGCAAAAATTTAACAAATGGGTTTTATGTGGAAACCTGTCAACTTTAGAAGTTAGAAGAGAAAATTGGTATATTGAGAGAGGCTGCAGAACTCTGACAGAATATCTCGGTGACCTGGTAAATGAAGTGCAAAATTTCAAGCAGGTATAACAATTGATTAGGAAGGCGAATGAAATGTTGTTTGTTGTTAGGGGGAAAGTAAGTATAAAGGCAGGGAAGTATTGCTGCAGCTGTACAGCACCTTAATTAGACCACTATCTACGCTGAAAGGATGTTTCTCTTATGAAGTGGCCTAGAATTGGAGAACAGAATTTAAAAATCAGGAGTTGCCTTTTAAGACTCAGATAGGAAAAAACATTTTCTCTCAGGGTTATTAATTTGTTGAATCAAATAAGAACAAAATAATGAGGATGATGGAGACCTGAAACAAAAATAAAGTATCGGAAAAACTTGGGTGTGATTTCTGAAATTTCGAAGAGTTATTGGACTCAAAATGTTAATTCTGTTTCTGTCCACATGAATCATGCCAGATCTGCTAAGACTCTCCAGTACTTTGTTTTTATTTCATTAGTCAATGGAAATCTTTTACCCAGATAGCAGTGGAGGTAGAGTCATAGAAGATATTCAAGACTAAGTTAAATAAATTTTTGATCAACATTAGAGTCGGAGGTTATGATGGCTGGCTAGGAACGTGGAGTTGAGGCCATGTTGAGATGAACTGTGATCTTATAAAATGGCAGAGTGGGGTTGAAGAGCTGAATGACTTTCTCCTATTCCTAGTTATGTTCCATCAAACCCTTTTTTTCCTAAAATTACCCAACTTGAGCATTAGTGATTACTCCAGTAAGCAAGGAACTGAAAACATAAGGGCGTCAGTACAAAAGCAGCCCAGACTAGACCCAATTATGGCATCTGCTGAAACACAGAAGTCCAAGGACCAAAATAAGTTTATCTTGTAGTTTCATTGATACAAATGACATATTCTGCAGGTGCGTTGCAGATGTCTATGGTTAGGGAGAAGAGTGTGGATGGTTTGGTAACTGTCTACAGTTGTTCTATGAAGCTTGTTGGCATACTTCTACTTAACCGACTCCACAAACTGCATACTGTTTCCAATATAGTTGTGTTGTTTTGAATGATCTCCAGTAGTCACTTGAAGGTCCAGTGGTTAGGCTGGTCAGAACTCAAATATACCACTTCACGATTGACCAACTCAAACTGCAGCAAGTTAAGTCAGTTTAGGAACTCAAGTATAAAACGACTGCTGAAAACATATTGAACTCGTTCCCGTATTCATTTCAGATGATCAAACTAATTTAGTGGCTTGAACGTCCAAGCAAGATCAAGCATGATCTCTGCACTTCTGATCAGCTTATTGTTTTTCCTGTTTGAGAACCCATGATGTAAAAATATACAAAATGTTTGTTCCCTTCCAGTAGAAATTTACATCTTTGTTTACATTTTATGAGGAAAAGCACATTTGGTAAATGGTGAAGAGTTGAATCAGTGGAAGAGAAAAGCTTGAGAATACTGCTCAATAAAACAGTAACAATGAATTAGTGATCACATTAATTTGTTAAGACTCTGTTAGGGAAAACAAAATACAATTATTCATGAAACATTGACCATGTTTCATTAACAATTTACATCAAACTCTGATTAAAAAATTTTTATGTATAATTAATTTCAACATCTGTGCAAGGACCAGAATCCAACTAACTAATAATGACCTAGTTGAGGTTTAAGATAGAGATGTGTACTTGCAAATCAGAATAATCTTTATCTGTTTCAACAACCCTTTTTGAAGGCTTCTATACTGCAAAACAAACATGCATTGGCAATTGTATACTCAAGGATCTCAATGCTGATTGACAATTAAAGGCAACAGTTGTAATAACAGAAGTTATTGTCTGGGATAAAAAAGGAATGAAATTTATGAAGTTGGACCAGAGATGCACATGAGAAAAGTATTTCTATAGTTCTTTTAGAAGGTTTAATAAATCATTAATAATCTCATATGAAGTGGTTTATTTAAGTGCTACACGTCTGCCTCTGCCAGCAGTTTTCAGTATCATGTTTGTATAAGAGTACATGCTGCAGAAATTAATAACTTGTCATGGTTTTATTCTCCTGTAAGTAAAGGTATTTCCTAACTAATCAGGAATAATGAATTAATTCCGTAGAAAATGTTTTGTGAATGTAACTGCCACTTAAACTTCTTATCTGGTCCACATCTTTACTAGGAAAGAGCAATCCCTACTGTGAAGTCACAATGGGATCCCAATGTTACACGACCAGAACACTGTCAGATACTTTGAACCCCAAGTGGAACTTTAACTGCCAATTCTTTATCAAGGACATTTACCAAGATGTATTGTGTATCACAGTCTTTGAAAGGGATCAATTTTCACCTGATGGTAAGAGTTCTAATATTATCCTTTATTTCAGCAGAGAGTAGTCCAAAGAGAATACATGAAATTGTAATATTTTCATTCTTTCCAGAAGTACCACTCAATGCATTTACCTTAAATGAGGAAGTAGGGATCAAATTTGAAAAATAAAATTTGTTTGGGTTGTTAGAATATTTATGTTCAGTAAATCAGGCATAAAATATCATCTTTCCTGTCAGTTGACAATATTGTGTAGTAAGTAATGTGGAAAGCAGCTGTAATCATTTTTATTTATTTAGAAGTTTTCTCTTCATACAGGTCTTTTTCCTCATTTCATTAGTCAGTAGATTCTTCCATGATACAAAAGCAAATTACCGTGGATGCTGGAAATACACAATTAAGAACAGAAAATGCTGGAAGCACTCAGCAGATCAGGCAGCATTTGTGGAGGGGTGCAGTTAACATTTTGGGTTGGCGATCCTTCATCAGATCAAATGAGAACTTACTTCTATCTCCTTACCAAGATATATAAACACAGCTATCCTGGTAGGCCTATTGCTTCAACCTGCTCCTGCCTGAATGAACTGGTTTCTGTTTACCTCAACTCTATATATTCCCTTCAGTTCTGTTGAAAAATCAATCACCTTAAATGGTAACTCTCGTTTCCTTCATCATAGGTACTGCCTGATCTACTGAGTATTTCCAAACTCTCTCTTGCTTTTAATTCACAATGGCCATTATACCAGTGTATGGCTTCATTATGTGGGCAAATGAGAAATAGTGAAATAAATCACAGACTTGTCAGCCAATTTAGAGTTTCGTTTCCAAGCATTGTGAAGAAGGCATCTAAAGTAAACTATTCTCCTAAAATGTCATTGGCAAAAGATTTTGTTTTACATTTTGAATGCAAGCAAGATTTTACTTGTTAAGCTGATATTGCCTTTTGTTTGTATCAGGAAAACTACTTTTTCTTTCTGTTTATTTTGTATTTTCCCATCCCATATTTATCAGTACAACCTAGTTTTGGGCTTCCCACCAATGTCATTTTTTTGATCCAACCCCTGAGGGTTTTAGTAATGTATTAGAAAATTTAAATATCTGCCATGTCTTCTCGACTGTCTGTTTTCCCATCTGCTTATGTCTCTTTGTTGTTTTACATTCAATATGTGGACTGTATATCTCAGGAAGGATTTAAAGAATTAATCGTGTAACATGAGGCTACATATTAAGGAACAGAAATACAGGGGAACAGAAGGGAGAGAAACAATAAAATGATTTCTCAGCAATAACGTTTTATAATATTCTGGCCAGATTTCCTAGGTCGGACAGAGGTTCCAGTAGCAACAATCAAAAAGGAGCAAGAAGGCAAAGGGCCAACTACAAAGCGCCTTCTTTTGCATGAAGTCCCAACTGGGGAGGTATGGGTTCGCCTTGATCTTCAACTATATGAACAGAAGACATTACTCTGAAATCGAGGCTTCAAAATCATTTGAACTTTAACATTCAGAGACTAAAATTGTGGCAATCATCTATTGATGATAAACAATATTTTTTCTAAAATTATGGAGGAAGTTCAACAAATTAAACCTCGTAACGAACGGACACTGATGTTCAGCAATGGTTATAGCCAAATAGGTGCCAGCTTTTTTTTGCTGTTGCGCTAAAATCACAAATATTCTTCCTCTTTGGTTGCCACTTTCTGTCTATTTTTCTCGCAGTGTAAATTTCCAACAATGATCATGGAGGAATATTAAATCCAAGTTTCAGTCATGAAGACAAAAACGAAGCCAAATTACTTTTTTGCCAGTTGAAGATGGCCTTATTGGCTCAGAACTACTTAAAACAAACTGCACAGTGACTTCACTCCTGATGGGTCATTAAATGTGGCAAAATGACAGACTTATTTTCTATGCAGAGTCTAAGAAGTCAAGCGACAATTGAGTCTTTGTAAATATGTAAACAAACAGCTTTTGCAATGACTGCATATTTCTGTAATTGTAAGTGTACTTTGGGAAGCATTTTTGAAGTAACTGAACAGAATTTGAATATACTTTGAATTGAACATCTTTGAGTAAAAAACATGGCATCATGCAGTAAATCAACAATGGTGGTGTACACTGAGTCATATTCGCTGGAATTGTCAGTTGCTTATAGCTTAACACTGAAAGAGAGGTCCACAGCTACTGAAGAGAGGTTGAAAAAATACTTCTGTAGAACTTTGTGCTACTTAGAAACAAAATGTTTTCTGTACATTATAAAAGCAGTACATTAAGGAATTTTTATCATGGCAGCGGTTTTTGTCTACAGTTAACGTTATTCAGTTTTCCTCTTGACTTAGTTCCGGAAGTTTGTAACTAAATCTTATTTTTGAGAAGTTACTTCTGTGATTTATCTAGCCATATGTCAAAATATTTGTCCTCTAGATTACAGAAACATACATGAACTATACCAATGGTTTTGTCACTTTGAGCAAATTTTCTATAAATTGGCAGAAGTAGTTTTGTTATCATTGGTGGTATCTTGTAATTTCAGATTTTATAGGTCAAATATTTTATCAAATCAGGCCATATTTGATGACTGGATTCTCAGGTGCCAGCTTTCAATAGATTTGTTTATATCGCGTATTTAGGGTCTTAGTTAATACTTTTTTCCACAGATGTATGCGTTGTACTTGTCCATCCTTAATTTGTTATAACTGTACCAGCAGAAAGCCTGCTCAGACTGAATTAGAGATTGGTTAAAGAAAAGGTGATGAGGCAGTAATGACTTTGTGCATTCGATTTTCTTCTGCTCTTATGAGAAACCACAGTTCAGTTTCGATCAGACTTCAGGAACCTTTCATAAAATTATAACTACAAAGGTAGAATATGTTAGAAATGGCCAGCAGGTTGGTCAAATTAGGAAAGACAGATTGGTTCAGGTAGTTATGAAAAGTTGCACCCAAAACATTGACCTATCTCATTCTCAGTTGTTGATTGACTGGTTTTGCACTTCTACCATTTTCTGGTTTTATCTAATAAACTGCCAGCATTATTTTTGGCTACAAAGTGAAGGCATGCGCTAAGATGCATGCAAGTGAATTATTTACTAGTATCTATTTCATTTTTCATTGTTCTTAACCAATTTTTTTGTAAAAAATCCACCATCAGCTATCAATGTGAAATATATGAAGCAGTTTAAATGTTATTCTGCTATCCTTGTTCCTGCACAGGCTTTCACATAATCTTTATTTCAAGTGTTATAAGTAACCTTTATTTGTAACTTACTGCCACACCTTTGTTTTTCCTGCATGAACAAAACATTTATTTTAAAAAAGATGTATTTGTGATACACGTGGCATCACTGCATTGTGCAGTTAAATGATACAAGAACATTTTTAAATCACTTTCCGGTATTCATTACTGATGACAATTTGATTCTTTCTTCACCTGTATTCTTTAGCCTTGGAAAATGCAAGATTAGTTATTGCAGCTGTATTTGGTGGAAGGATGCTATAAGGTGATATAATGTATATGGTCAACAATATAACCTGTACAATACAGAACTGCTATAAGCTAATTTGAGGACCTGTTGGTGCTGTGGAGTCTTTCATTTTGTAATATGGAGCAGTTCCTGCTACAGTCAGATAAAGCTTTCACATGAACTTTGTTGACTTCCATATCTGGGCATGAATCTTTCCTGACTGCCAGGTAGAATCAATAAATGAAAAACACAACAAAACACAAAATGCTGAAAGATCTTTCTTCATGAGCGTAGTTCAAAACAATACCACTGGTGGAATTATCCACCAAGCCACTGAGGATTCTTTTTCTTAATTTCAACTTTTCTACAGCAATAATTCAACAGGACTGGAAGCATCTATGGAAACAAAGTTTCAAAACAATTACCCTTTGTAAGGTCAATAAGCTATTTTCCTTCTATTTAATTGTATAAACAACATTTATCACAATGGATAGGTTACCCCTGCAAGCCCGTGTGACATCTCAGTATTGTTATTCTTAATTCAAATTGAATGCATTAATTTAAAAATAATCATTGGCAATTGATGGCAAAGGTGAGTAAAGAATCACTGGTAAAGCATACAATTGTCTTTCATGCACCCTTCTCATTCCTAAAAGTATTGTACAGAGTCCCAGCAGCTTAGATAACTTTACAACTGACCATTCATTGTGTGTGTGAACATTTCACTGAACATTCTGAATGGAGAAGGAATCTTGAGGGACAACATGAGCGTTAGGTATCTAGTGGAATGTAACTTTAGGTAAAAGCTTGTGGAATTTGCTTGATGTCCTATCCAAACAAATTGAGCTACTAATTACACAGCTAACACTCCCCAGACTAATTATTGTTTGCAGATCTTTCTTCGTGAGTGTAGTTCAAAACAATACCACTGATGGATTTATCCACCAAGCCACTGAGGATTCTTTTTCTTAATTTCACTTACTTTTCTTCAGCAATAATTCATAATGTAACTTACGGGATGCTAGGTGGGCACTGTTACAACTAGGTGAGGAGGAGTGAATTGGCTCCCCTCTTTTTAACCCCATTGTTAGCCATAACAAAAGTTTTAAATGTTTAGACTGCAGCTATATCTCACTTCAATTAAAACATTGTACTAGTCAAAATTAAGGTGCCAATTACAAGGTTTTAATGTGACAAAGAGGGATGTTTACTAACCCCAAGGAAAAAATAAAGTAACATAAAACGCACACAAACCCAGATATAAAGTTTGGAAAGAAAAATAAAGAATAGGTACATTAATCCTTAACCTGAGGTCACAGTTGTTTAATTGATATCCCGCATCCTCAGCAGTGGCAACATCTGTACATATCCTTCAGTCCTAGCTGAATAGATACATAATTTGATCACTGAGCATTGTTTGTCAAGAGAGATTGAGAGAAACAAGGATAGAGAGATTCTTTCAGTTCTGCTATTACAAATCGATTCTTTTTCTCTCTGCTCTATCCAAAATAAATATAATTAATTTCCAATTTTACCACTTGCATAACAGTGACTGCTATTATCATTCTATTGCTAAAATTGAAACTTGTGGGTTACAATCTTTAATGGTTGATTTTTATTTTACCTGGTGGTCAAGCAGGGATATTCAATGAAAGGTGGCAGAGTTCTAGGATTCCAATAAGGCTCTTCTGAATGTCTCCCAACAGATTTCCTGATAACTGGTGTGCTTAGTTTATAGAGAAATTATTTTGGCACCTCTGCTGCTATCTGTCTGCTGCAGTGTTTGAAAACTACTCTAACTGTTGCAATGACTGTACTGCATCCAATAAAATGGCAAGAAATGTCCAATGTGAGGATTTTGATCATTCTTAAAACCTAATTTCAAGCAAAGATGCTACATCGTAGAACAAACAGTGATTTAATGGTTACTTCTATTTCTGGCTACATTGAAAATAGTTGTTGTACAGTTGGCCAAGCTGCTAGAAAATTGGTATTGACTGCCAGACCATACCACAATATGGTGTCTTTAACAGTTATTTAAAATGTTTGCACCTGACTTTTAAAATTGAATGTATAAAAATCCAAAATATCTGTATGTCTTGCAGCATTAGTTTTCTTGAGTGCGAAAATGTATATTATAAATGAGGGAACAGGGAATGTCTAGTTTGCCAAATATTTTTCTTACCAATACAAGAGCAATAGCTATTAGGGTTATGAAAACACACTGTGGGGTATTAAACCTCTTTGATAATTCAGTCAAACCACTGTCAAACTGTTACTAGTATTGAAAACAAGCATTTTAAAGGGGGTATGTACTGGACATTAAATAGTTTAATATTAGTTTTGGCATGTATGTTCTTTTTGTGTTGAATCATGTAAAATAATTTTTTAAAGAATCTTATTTTTATGCCACTGCCCATCCTATGCAGTCTACTGTAGATAATCTCTTTGCACTACTGCGGTATGTCTCAGTTGCTTCATATTTTGTAGACTGAATTTTGTTGTATAGTATTTGGTTTGATAACAAATCTCTACACTGTGTTGTCAATAAAATTGACACTTTTAAATTACTGAATTGTATTTCTGTCCACGTTTTACTTTATGAAAATAATTGTTTTATTAACTAAATTTATCTTCTGAATAGGAAGCAGTTAATGCAAATTGAGAACTTGAGTGCACAAGCTCAGGTGACTCCAGTGCAGTACTACACATATGCTTCGTTACTGGATCTACTTGTTTAAATTAGATCTCAAAGCAAGTTTGGTTCAGTGCATGTTCGATATTTTAATGATATTATTTCCTTATCACCTATATTGCCACCTTTGATTTTATCTGGATTCTGTACACCGGCAAGTGGAATATATCAAATATCACTATATGTTGTTCCTCTTTTTGAAAAGCAGAGTCAATGCAAAATTGATCAAATTGGGGGTCAAACTCTTAACTAACAATATGAATAGTATTATCAATATCTCAATTTATTTTTGTCTCTAATTTTCTTGCTGTTTCCAGTACACTTATTGTGTTTTGATGGTGTTAGTATTTCCTTTGGGAGGAAGCTGTCTCTGCTCACCTGATACACAGACAGCTCAAACTACCTTGTGTTTCTACAGTTCTCCTGCTGTCCATTTGCTGGGTCCCTCTTAATATGCTAATAGCTGACAGTAAATTATTTGATCAAATTATTCTCTCTACCCCAAGTACTTGTACTAAACCTGAAATATTTTATGAATGTAAACAGGAGCAACTGAAATACAGCATTCATGGAGAAATAGAAGAGAATGTTTAGGTCTTGTATCCTTCCACCTGAACCAAGTATTTCCAGATTTCTTTGGTTTTAGATTCCCAGTATCTTGGGTATTATTTTCATTTTAGCTAACTCTGATACATTCAGTAAATTATATGAATTGCTATTGTGTTGTCAATTCTATTCTTTGCTACTTATGAAGTAAATGACTAAATTTGTGTCATAAATTACTTTTCACAGATTCTAGCACTCTCTGCTAAACTAACAGCTGTTACTACATTCAAGGACAGCACAGTGGTGCAATGGTTAGCACTGCTGCCTCACAGCACCAGGGACCCAAGTTCAATTCCAGGCTCAGGCGATTGTGTGGAGTTTGCACATTCTCCCTGCATCTGTGTGGGTTTCCTCCCACAATCCAAAAATGTGCAGGTTAGGTGGATTGGCCATGCTAAAATTGCCCATAGTGTCCAAGGATGTGTAGATTAGGTTGATTAGCCATAGGAATTCCAGGGTTACAGATAGAGTAGGGGGGTGAATCTGAATGAGATTCTCTTCAGCGCGTCAGTGTGGACTTGTTGGGCCGAATGGCCTGTTTCCACCCTGTTAGGGATTCTATAATAATAAAGAAATTAATAAAATTCTGCATTCACATTATGTAACATTTTATAACCCATTAGTTTTGGAGGTAGTTGTGGTACAACTGAGACAAAGACTACTTTCGGGACCTGGCCTAGGACACACATTAAACTAAACTAAACTATCCTGGAACGTCTGCTCCTCCGTGGTGTGGAAGATCAGTCCTGGAAAAGCTTCTTACAAATCTGCATCTTCTCAGTAAAAATGTATGATGAACTCACAGGTGTCTATTTCTCCAAATCATCCGTTTCCTTTGTACAGATAAAATAAAAATAATGTTAAAAATAATCCAATGTTCATCATTTCAGCACTAAACTGATTAAATATACATTCTAAAGCAAAATATGACAAATACTGGAAATCAAATAAGAACAAAATGTAAATACTCAGGCCAGACAGCATCTTTCAATAGATGTTAATGTTTCAGTTCAACAACCTTACATCAGAATGTGGACTTCATTATAAAATTGAATAAAGTAATCCTCTTCAGCTTTGAACCTCACAATACCAAAAACATGCATTTATATATGTATTTAACTGAGGAAATATTTTGGCTTGGTTTACTAAGAGCATAATCAGAAAAATCAGTTTGGAGCCAACTAAAGGAGAATACATCAGGGCATATGGCTTGGTTAAAGATAGGTTTTATAGATCATAGAATGGCACAGTACAGAAAGTGGCCATTTGGCCCACTACGCCTGTGCCACCTCTTTCACAGAAATATCCAATTAATCATAATTCTGTGCTGTTTCTGGTCTTTTCTCCCTTTCAGCTACTTAACCAAGAGTTATCTGCAAACTATGACTGAATCTACTACCACCAACGCTTTAAGGCAGTACATTCAGGGCCACATTGCTGTGTGAAAACAGCTCTTTCCCCATATTGTGTCCGATCATTTTGCCAATCACACTAAATCTGTTATTGGTTACTAACACCTCAACTGCTGGAAGTCTTTCCTTATTTACTCTATCGAAACCTTCATGATTTTGAACACCTTTATCAAATCTACTCTTAATTTTCTTGGTTCTAAGAACAATCATAGAGTCATACAGCACAGAAACAGACAACAAAAACAAAGTTGCTAGAAAAGCTCAACAGGTCTGGCAGCATCTGTGAAGGAAAAAACAGAGTTAATGTTTCAGATCCAGTGACCCTTCCTCAAAACTGACTGTGTTAACTCTGTTTTTCCCTTCACAGATGCTGCCAGACCTGCTGAGCTTTTCTAGCAACTTTGTTTTTGTTCCTGATTTACAGCATCCACAGTTATTTCGGTTTTCATTTAGAAACACACAACTTTGGTCCAACCAGTCCATGCTGACCATAATGCCAAACTAAACTATGATGGGGAAGACAAAGTCAGAAGTCACACGGCACCAGGTTATAGTCCAACGTGTTTATTTGGAATCTCACAAGATTTCGGAGCACAGCCCCTTCGTCAGGTGTAATGAGAGAGCAGAGTACGCAGACCCAGAATTTATAGGCAGAGAGATTGAGGATAGAGAGAGCAAAAGATCATACAACTGGTGTGAGTGGAGTGTCAGATGATAAGTCTCTGCAGGTGACCAAGAGTGTTAGATGGTGAGTAAAGTGTTTTATAAAGTCATTGTCAATGCTATGCTGTCATGACAATCAGGAATATACAAAAGATGACATCTCAAGTCAGACACTGCATTGTAGGTGTTAGACCTTGTTCAGAATCTGTCTCAGAGTTTTAACCTGAAATCAAGCTGGTTTTATTCTGAAAGCTGGAATTTATAAGATGCCATGCTGACTGACTGTGACAATAAATTGTGTGGTTTTTGAACAAAATAGAATGTATCTGCAAATAAACAAACATCTTGGATGAAATGATTCATCCCATAGATTTTTATGTGTGAGACTGACAAAATGTGTGTGTGTGTGCGTGTAATAAGTAATTCAAAACTGTACAAACTAATTAAGGTAGAGAGATCTAACAATATATCAAAGTGATGCTGTCAAAACAGGAAAGTATGGAAGATTTTACAGATACAGAACACTAGTGAGGTCACCTGTAGTGCGACATGAACCCAAGATCACGGTTAAGGCCATCTTCCTGGGTACTCAGTCTCTGCTCAGCGATTTAGCATCATTGTGTATCTGGCAGACTCCAAGATACACAACATCAGATTTCTGATGAAAGGTCTAGGCCCGAAACGTCAGCCTTTCTGCTCCTATGATGCTGCTTGGCCTGCTGTGTTCATCCAGCTCTGCACCTTGTTGTCTCAGATTCTCCAGCATCTGCAGTTCCTACTATCTCATCCCACCTGCCGGCTTCTGGCCCCTATCCCTCCAAACCTTTCCTTTCCGTGTACTTATTCAAATTCCTTTTAAATGTCGTAATTGTACCCACGTCCAGCACTTCCTCAGGAAGTTCATTCCACACACAAACCATCCTGTGTGTAAAAGAAATTTGCCCCTCATGTCTTTTTAAAATCTTTCTCCTCTCACCTTAAAAATTTGCCCCCTAGTCTTGAAATCCCCATGCTAGGGAAGAGACAACTTCCATTAACTCTATCTATACCCCTCATTATTTTATAAACTTCAATAAGGTCGTCTCTCAACGTCCTAAGTTCCAGTGAAAAAAGTCCCAGCCTTCCTTTATAACTCCAACCTTCCATACCTGTCAACATTCTGGTAAATCTCTTCTGTTCTTTTCCACACATAACACAAGTTCCTCCTCCATGGTAACCCACTCCTGCTTTTAAAATGGTTCAACATTCGCAAACTTCCAGTTTACTAGCACCACTTTTGTATCACGGAAGATGGGAACTTTGTGGCCATATGTGACATAAATTTGCCCATCTCTCATGGGTGTCTTAAAGAAGGAAATACAATGGTGTAGGGAGGGAATTCTAAAGTCTAAAGCCTAGGGAGCAGACACCAGACATGGAGAAGAGGAGGTCAGAATTCGTGGAATGCAAAGTTCTGAGGGATGTAGCATTGAAGACAGTGACAGAGATGAGCAGAGAACAATATGTTTATATCCCACTGATACCTGAATATTGTCAATTTTAAGATTACTGAGGGCAACCAAGATCAGCAGATATAGGGGTAGTGGTTGAACAGGACTTGGTCTGATCTTGGAAAAGATCAGAAGATGTAAGCAGAAGATGCTTCATGAAGATGTGCTATTTGGAATTAAATTTGACATCTCATCAATTGATCACAGGTCTTAAACTTTTAAAGAGGAAATTTCACTAAAACGAAGATACTGACTAATGACTGCCAACTTGCATCTGTCTGATAACATCCTATGTTTTGGGGAGATAGATTCTATGGAAGAGGACCAAATGGCACCTCCGGACGTATGAACAGCTTCTTCCCATCTCATCAAGATGAAGGGTGAATTCAGGTATTCAGGTATTAGTGCTCAGAACGTTGAAACAACTAATCAACTTGACTATTGCAATGACTACAAGGAAGTTGTGGCAGACATAAGCTGATCAACTGTCTTTTAGAATATACAACCAACCTGGAGACAGGTCATGTGACATAACCTAGTATGTGAAAGCTCAAATTTGGTTTTGAGCAGAGAACACAACCTGCAAATTCAGCATCTCTCTCTAACATGTTATCTAAGCTTTGATTCTTGTCTTGCTGAGAAAGAAAAGTGTATCAATACTCTTACAGCAAACAAAACCTTCACTGAAAGTATCTACTACGTTGTTTACCTGGAGGAAAGAAATATACCAACCACATTTAAACAAACTGCGTCAGCTTAAGCAACAGTGCCTACAGGTCCAACCAGTGAATCTTTATTGATGCTCCTGTTTCTTTCATCTAATCTTAACCTAGCCAAATTTAACCTCTGAAACTCTGCCAAGTTGCGTATTTCTCCAGGACCGGGGTGTCAGTGCATGTTTACATGTGTAAGCAGGAAGTACAATGATTTTGTACATTTAAGTAGGTGTTGATATTTTCTACCTTAGGCTTTAGCATAATAAATGAATTCTTAGTGTTAAACTCAAGAATACTGGGCTTAGAGTCATAGGGTCATAGAGATGTACAGCACAGAAACAGACCCTTCGCTCTAACTCGTCCATGCCAACCAGATATCCTAAATAAATCTAGTCACATTTGCCAGCATTCAGCCTTTTTTTCCCTCTGAATCCTTCATATTCACATACCCATCCAGACACCTTTTAAATGTTGTAATTGTACCAGCCTCCATCACTTCATCTGGCAGTTCGTTCCAAACACGCACTACGCTCTGTGTGAAAAAGTTGCCCCTTAGGTCTCTTTTAAATCTTTCTCCTCTCGCCTTAAACCTATATCCTCTAGTTTTGGACTCCCCCAACTTATTTAGTCATTACAAACTGAAGTCGTTACATTGGGGTGGCATGGTGGCACAGTGGTTAGCACTGCTGCCTCACAGCACCAGGGACCCAGGTTTGATTCCAGCCTCGGGTGTATGTCTGTGTGGAGTTTGCACATTCTCCCCGTGTCTGCGTGGGTTTCCTCCGGGTGCTCCAGTTTCCTCCCACAGTCCAAAGATGGGCAGGTTAGGTGGATTGGCCATGCTAAATTGCCTGTAGTGTTCAGGGATGTGTAGCTTACGTGGGTTATAGGGGGATGGGTCTGGGTGGAATGCACTGAGGTTCGGTGTGAACTTGTTGGGCCAAAAGGGCCTGTTTCCACAATGTAGGGATTCTATGATTCAAACTGCATGGAGCCAGGTCCATACTGAATAAGCAATACTAAATCCTTTTAAAAATTCAAAATCCTGGTGCAGTCAAATGACAAGTGGGAAACGAGGAAAACCAGTCTATCTCTCCTCACCTGGTCATAACAGCTGTAAGATGGGAAGCTGGTCAGAACAGCGCCAGAATAGTCAAGTTGTCAATTGCTGTGATAGCAGGCCCTTGAATCAAGGACGTTGCCCACTCAGAGTTATGAAGTTTTGCCATGGATGTTTATGTGACTAAACAAACCAACTCTTAATTAATAGATCTTTATGAACATGGGGTAAGATGTCCCCATCCAGATTGCAATTTGCTTCTGTTTCTTTCCTTTTCTGCTGCAACAATACTCATCAATAAGAGGCTACAACTCAAAAAAATGTGATCCAGCTTGATGGACAAATAGTCACCATTTTGAACAACTATTAGCAAACTCCTTCCCTGTCAATCCTGCCGGTCTTCATGGAGAGTTTCAGAATATCTTTTAAATATTTTCTTTGTCCTCCCCAGAAACATTAGCCATGTGAAAGTTGGGAAAACAAGATCTGGTAGGGAAGATGCTTTTTGCCATCCAAACACAGAACCTGGTCTATCAAAGTTGAATGAGCAGAAGTTTTTTTCTGAATGCTTATGAAGCTGGTTTCAAAACTAGTGTTTGTTCAATAATCCTCTCATTGAATACGGAGGGTGTGACTAGTTAAATATGGAGATTGGGAAATGTATGGATGAGGGTTTCAGCAGCAGATGGTCTAAAGAAGGGCAAAGAACACAACAGCAGAGAGGTAGATGTCAGAAAAGATAATCAGACAGGGTATTCAGGTTGAAGAAGATGTGTTTTATTCCAAGACAGAGGCCAGGTAACAGTCTGTGATGGGATCCAAAGACACAGCTTTGATAATTCAAATGTTTAGTCAGAAGAAAGTTTTAGCCATTCATTAAGTGACAAGCAGCTTAATAGAAACACTGGAGATGTTGAGAGAAGTGATAGATAGAGCTGGATGTCATCGGTGTACATGAGAAAGCTGATGGGCTTTTGGATGACGTTACCAAGAGACAGCTTGTAGTTTTTTTTAATCTGTTCTTGAGATTGTGGGCATTGCTGGCTAGGCTAGCATTTACTACCTTAATGATGGCAATATATCAAACCACTGTAGTCCATATTGTGCAAGTACATCCACCTTGCAGTTAGTTAGGCAGTTCCAAAATTTTGATGCACTGACAACTAAGAAACAGTGATATGATTCCAAGTCAGAGTAGTATGACACTTGGGGAATTTAGCAGTGATATTTCCATGTTTCCTTTGTCCTTACAGGTGGAAGAGCTCATAGACTTGGAAGGTTATTTTGAAAATGAAACTTTGCAAAATTGCTACAGTGCATCTTATGCATAGTACACGCTGGAGCCTGTGTATGCTGATGGTGGAAACAGTGAATATTTAAGGTGGTAAATGGGGTGCTATCAAGTTAGCTGCTCTGTTGAGAATGGTGTTAAGCTTCTCAACTGTTGATAAAGCTGTACTTTCCAGATAATTGGGACAGCATTCCATCATAATCCTGTCTTGTCCCTTGTCAAGCGAGGCTTTAGGAAGTCAAGAAACAAGCTAATCTCTGCAGAATACAAAACAACTGACCTGCTTTTATAACTACACCATTTATGTAGCAGGTCTTGTTAAGTTTATGGTCAATTTAGACATTCCTCTCCCACTCTCTCCTCCAGATATTGATGGTGCAGTTTTAACAATGGTAATGCCTTTGACTGTCAAGGGATTAAACTCTCCCTTGATAACTATTGCCTGACGTTTATGATGCAAATATTACTTGCAATTTATCTGTACAAGTCTGAATGTTATTTAGATCTATATGGGCCATGGCTGCTTCATTAATGAGGTTTTGTGAAGGGAGCTCAAAACTGTGCAATCATCAAAAAGCATTCATGCTTATGACCCAACGATTAACTGATCATTGATGAATCAACTTAAGATGGCTGGTACCCTGATAAATTAATCTAGTGATATGACACGGCCAAGATGATTGGTTGGATTACTTATTACTTTAGTTAGACCCTCAGCATGAGACTCTTATATCTATCATGTTATTCCAGTCTTTTGGTTTGTCTCCAGCACCACCTTATTTTTAATTTTTTGTAATTATCTCTCTGCCTCATTTATTCAGATTATAGGTGATCCATTCACTTGTTATTCAGCTGTCAACACTTCTCAAACCGTCTGATGCTTTTGATCACCTGCAGTGACTTATTATTTGACACTGCACTCACACCATTTGTATGATCTTTTGATCTCTCTGCCTATAAATTCTGTGTCTGTATGCTTCTCTCTCACTTCACCTGACAAAAGGTTATGCTCCGAAAGCTTGTGATTTCAAATAAACCTGTTGGAATATAACCTGGTGTTGTATAATGTCTCACCTTGTCCACCCCAGTCCAACACTGGCACCTTCACATCATAGTTATTAAGAAGAATGAGGAGAGATACTGCATCACAGGCACAGGCACAGTCAAATGGAATGTCATTTGTGATTTTAGCTAAAGCTTTGACAGGTCAGAAATCTATTGGAGTGGTCCAAACAAGGAGGTGAAGAAAAAATGGACATGGACTCAGGAGTTCATGATATGTAGATATTTCATGCAGAAATGATGCATTACTGTATTCACAATATCTTAATATATTTAAAAGCAAAATGTTCAATCCCAATCCTGACAAATTTTCTCCTTAATCTCCTAAATATAACTTACTCTTTCTGGGTTGCTCTTCCATTGGACTAGTTATCTTCTAGAATGTTAACCACTGTACTTATGTAAACCTGAATAGCAAGTTGTCATCAAGGTGTATCACAGACAAACTCAAAAATGATATGCACTTGATATCTACACTTATGTACTTTTCCAGAAGAGGTCAGAAAATAGTGATCAGCTGCAAGAAATATTGGCTTTTCTTTTTTCTATCCCCTGGACAAAGAGATCAATGTAACATCCCTAATTCAGTACCAATCAGCAATCAAAATAGTATGCATTTGATGAGCATGGCTTAGAGAAAGAACTTTCATATATATCTTCTTTCACAATCTCTGTATATTCAGAAACATATCACCATGAATTAACAACTTGTGTAGTATTAGCGCAGTTAATACCCATTCATGACTGTTAGCTGTTATTGCAAACATCAAAGTCCCAGTGATATCAATATGAAGAACACCAGCTAAATTTTGTTTTCCTGCTGTTGACTGACATTTTATTTAGCATCTTTTTGTATAGAGACTTTGAGCACAACTCAACTTTGAGGCATTAAATATGCCAACTGGGAAACCATATTTACTAGTCTCTGTGATAACACGGTGTAGAGCTGGAAGTTACTAGTCTCTGTGTTCTGTCTTATTTCAAATTTGCATTGTTACTCCAGGTGCCAAAAAACATGCCTTATTGCTGAGTGTAGAAAAAAGACTCTTAGTGTAGCCCTACTGAAATGCTCCTTTTTTAAATGTGGAAACTTACTACAAATAAAATTAAAGTAATGAATTTCTTAACTACACATGGAATGTGCAGTTTTAAACCAACTACTGATTTAGCAATTGAGGGTCTAAAAATTCATTTTTCAAATATATTCTTATATTTTTAAAACTATTATTTTTGACATTATGCTGGGTACAATTGAAAGGAAAATTGATTATTAAATCCAAATATTCAAAATACATTCACTCAGTAAAAACAGACCTAGTTTGCATTTCATCATTCTAATTAAAATTAAAATTGCTCATGTCAAGAATGGTAAATACTTAATCTTTGTATTCAGAAACAATCTGATGATTGACCATTCATGACTTCCAAAGCTAAGAAGTTCAATTACTCTCACACATAAGAATAATGAGGCTGGAATGATGAAGTAAGCATGGCAGGAATGATGAAGTAAACATGGCAAAGTATTTACTACCTGCTTCTTTGTCGAACTTCACTCTCAATATAGCCTAGTGGTACACGGAGCCATGTATTGCAGTCAACATATTGGCGACCCAATGGAACCAGAGGTAGTTGTGCCTTGTGAAATTCTTCAGTTTCTTTTAAAGAGTAAACTTTACCTTTACAATTACAGACAGAGCACAAGTTCAGCACTTAAAATCAATACACTGAGGAATATGTTTAACGGACTATTGGATACATAATTTTTACAAACATTTGTCACATAAATTTTCAACTTTGATTTAGTTCTATTTGACTGTTCATCCATGATTGTACACACACCCCCTTGTAGGTTCGTAGAATGCCCTGTATTAGTGCCATGCTTAAATGTTTCACACTGTTGCTCAACTGTTTTATCAATGCCCTTTCTTTCCAATTTGTCCAGATGTCATCCCCTTTCATTTCTCTATAGTTTGCTTTCATCAATCAACTCATATCAACATTTAATTTTCTCCTCTATAGAAATTATGGTAAGTAATATTAACTTTTACCTTTCTGCGTTTTTGAAAGATGCTCTTGGGTTGTCTGTAATTGGTCAAGTACATTTATTGCCAGTGCTTGGTTGAAATCAAGTATCTGATGACAAACTTTCTCCTTGAATTTTTGGAGTCTTCCTGCTGACATAGATTTCCTCTCCCACCATCCCAAAACATGATGGAAAGAAATCTTAGGATACTGACTGAGCACCAGCGAAATAATAACAATGTACGTCCAAATCATGCTAATGTGTTATATAGGGAACTAGGTGATGGTGATGTTCCCATGACATCCTGCATATCCTTATCAGTAGTAGAGATCACAAGAAGAAAGGTACTGTAAAAGCAACATTAGCAAATTGCTGAACAGCATCCTGAAATTGGTGCACACTATTAACTGCTGTGTATCGGTAATGGAGGGGCAGACACAGTAATCAGTTGTAGCCTACTGACCAAGCCAAATATTCTAGCCTGAGTGATTTTGAGACCCAGAGCATTGAAACAGATGCACCCACAAAGGAGAGTGATATTTTGAAAGTCTCCTAAATGGAGTCCAGTAATGCATAGAGTTTGAGAACTGGGTAGAATAACCAATCATGAGAATTCCTGGCATCTGCTCTTCTTTGCAGCCAGGTTTTAACAATGGGATTCTTAGTGAAGCTTCTAGTCAATGATGATTTACAAGATATTGATGTGGAACATGTTAATAATGGTGCCTGAAGGCTGGGAGATATAGCATGTCTTTCTCTTGACTGAGATGGTCATTGCTTGGCACTTGTAACTAATCATCATCCAAACAGCTTCCGATAACATCTAATGACATTTTTTTAATGAGTGGCTATCAAGTAAGTTTTCTTTCTCTTAGGTGACTATGTTAGTCTGACTACAGCCAAACTACCTTCTAATGAGAGATTTCATCAACCTTAATCTTCAACACTACGGTATTCACATAACTGAGGTCAAAGTGAGGAAAGAGTTTTTTTAAGTACACGTCCAAGTTACTTGAAGATAGCCAAGCTGAATTAATTGACATCAGGTTGTTAACCTGGCTTTTTCTCTATATTTTGGATTACCTTTTCTTTAAAAAATGAATTTTTTCAATATTATTGGTAGAGGTGAAACACTCTTTTCATTTCAGGCACTGAATCCAAAATAGAACACTTTAGGAAAGAAACTGCAGGCTCACATTTCTCCAGCAAGTAAACCTAATCTCTCTCGAGACTACTCTATACTTAGACAATGCAAAATATTTTCCAATTTCCAAACCATCTATCCCATACATGTTCCAAACTGCACTTTAGTACCAATTTGCTGGCCATGTGAGCTAGGTTCAAACATTTCAGGAGTAAGGTCCTTGTGTGAAGTAGGTGAAATAGATCTAAATATACAGAGAAACAACGAATGAGACTTTAAACTCACAATACACCACAAATAGTAACTTAGATTTATATGGTACCTTTAAAATACAAAAGAGGCTTGATAGGGAGACAAAGATATGGTTTTCTCAGCTGAACAAGAAAGAATGAGGGACAGAATCTCAGATGAAGCGGTTGATCAGTTTGGACTGAGGTGAGGAGAAATTTCTTCATGCAAATGCTAATGAAACTTTGGAATTGTCAACTCCCAGAGGGTTGTGGGTCCTTCATTGTAGGATGTTTGCAAGTTGAAATAGACAAATTCAAAGTTATTCAAAGCAATCAAAGGAACAGGCAGAAAACTGGAGTTGAGGCAATCAGTCTTGGTCATATTGAATGCTAGAGCAGATCCAGGGAACACATGATACAGTCCTGCACTGGCATGATTTGTTCTCAAAGTGAACAACATTACAAAACTCTTCGCCAAAGCATAATCAAACAAAAATGAATGCAGAGTCAAAAGTTCTAAAAATTCTTTGATAGGCAAACATAATTATAGTACCATTGATTACCTGTTATGAAAGCAAATTCTTTCAGGCCACATAAAATGTATTGAAGCATTATTTTGCCTTTTTTAAATCTTTTATTACCATCAAGGGTGGACCAATGCATCTGTATCAAATCAAAGTGACCTTAGCATTCCTCCCCAATGTTTCTTGACCTCATTGGTTCCTATCCTCCTCTATATTCCTTGATTCTCCTATACCAACCTTCGTGATCCTGGCCCTTACTGTTCTTTGACCTGCTCAATTTTGCTTGTCCTCATCAATGCTTCTCTTGACCTCCAACTCTTATTTGTTGCTCCTCGAGAACTCCTCACTTCACCTGACTGCTCTGCAAGAATCTCAGTGCTTTTCAAGGTCCTTACTGCTCCAACACGTTACCCTTTACCACCTGTGACTCTTAAGATGACATATTATTGATTCTGACTTTCAGTGCTTAACTCCTGATTAATTTCACCAGATCTCAGTTCGACATTGTGACCACAGAAAATGAAGAGCTGAATCTGGGAGAGAGAATCTTTGATTGGAGGATTAGCAGATGAAGGAAAGACAAAGCTGCTCCTCCAACTACTGCAATGCACTCTGTTCATGCTCTCACAGACTGTCAGTTTCACTTTGGCATTTGTTTTAAAGAAAATCTGACAGTTACTGAGAATGGGCAGTTTTCTGATTAGTTGCTATTTTTTTTAAAAATCCACCCATCAGTTGATTAGTGAAACTGTGTCTCGAACACCTTCTTGGATTTCCAAATAATCAGGTTGATAACAAATCAGCTGATAACAAAATGACACAGTTCAATTATTTCTTCATCAACTTTCCATTAATCAATATTAATACTCTCTTGTCCAACTTATTCTTTCTATTCCAATTGGCCACCTTCACATTCACTGATCCACTGAAGGATGCTTAACTGGCCCAATTTACATTGCCAATAAGATTGGCATAATATTAAAAAAAACTTTTTTTGTTTTAGAATGAAATTATAAAAAAGAATTCAATGAATACTCATTAATTTTAAGGTGGGCGTAGATGTATTTTTGTTAGGCAAAAGTCAATTGGGATGGATGGGAATGTGAAATTTAAACCACCAAACATTATCTTACTGAATAGTGTAGCAGGCTTGAAGGGCTGAATGACCTACTTCGGCTCCCAATTTGTATGTCCGTATGTATGCAATGATTAAAAATTAATAGGCAATGTGTTATAAAATCAATTTTTACTATGGCCAAAGACACAGAAACAATGTTAACATTTCTAGCTTTGTACCATATCAAAATAAGGTTGAAGTGCACTTTGGTTATGAGGCTATCCAAACAGTGATTTTTGATTTGATTTGATTTATTCTAGTCACATGTACCTAAGTACATTGAGAAGCTTTGTTTTGCGAGCAGTACAAGCAGATCACAGAAAACAGGGACATACAGATCATACGGCTCTTTCACAGAGTGAGGCATACAGGTTACAACCGCACAGGAGGTGCACAAAGTTAGCTCCCTACAGCAATGTAAAGTGACACTCTTCCCTACACTCTAACTAAATAGTCTGATGTTCAACCTGCATAATTACTCCCATGAATTGAAAACCAATGTTTAAATGAACTGCACAAACCTTTCTGACATTGCAGTATGGCATTGTCTTCCTCAGTCTTGCTTCTTCCTTGAAATAGCAGAGGATCATTGAGAGTTGAAGTCCTTGTCTGCAGGAAGAATAATTCTTGTAGAAATACCATCAAGGTTAATTATGTAGAAATTATACTCAACAAGCTCAAGTTTTCTTTTGACAGCTGTAATGTTCTCCAAAGGGACTGATAACTTTTAAACAGAAATTTGAATTTGCAGGTACCAACATGAAGTATTGTACGATAGATCTCATGTTTCAAGACTTTACTGCAACAAATCAAAATCAACATCATCTAAATATTATTTAGGAGGCAACTAATACAAATTAGAGAAATGATATTAGCATCCTAACAACTAAAAACCTTACTTAATGTTTTTAGCTTACACTGCACGCTGCAGAATTGTAGTCTTCACAGGCACCAACGTTATTCCCAACTTCAACAGGCTCATTTCTCCATATTTCTCTGAATTGTAATGTCAATGATCATCAAAAGTCATTCCACTTTGTCTTCCAAGAGTCTTGAAAACAACTTCACTCCACTGACTCTTCTCCTGAGCATGCCAAGGCAAAAGTTCCAGTATCCTTAAATCTCTGCATATCCTCTCTCTTCAGCCAGAAAACAATCTCCTACTAGCATTCTGTCTAACATAAATCAGCCTTTTCCCATGTTGTTCATAACATGTGGTTTCCTGTCTCTGTAGGACTCAACTGTTCAGTCTAGAAATTCTGCGTTAGTAAACCATAACAAAGTGACCTGATCCTTCTTTTGTGTCAAAATGCAGAAGCTAGCACTTCAGTCTCAGCAGGACTTCCTCAGGGCCCCAGTCCCCACAGCAACCACGTCACTTGAGTTTGTCATTAGCAGACTGATAGATCACTTGCCCCCTCCACCATCCCAATTTACTTCAAATTTAAAGAGGGAGTTTAAAATATCATTATCTTATATTGTGCTCGTGATACTCTTGCCTACAAAGTATAAATTATAAGAAATTTCCTATAATAGTATCAAAATATATCATTGTGAACAACTTAACAACTAACTTATTACATGCTACAGAAGTGATATTCTTCCCTTTGTCATATTTCACCATTAAGCATATTGCCTTAGCAACAGTATAATACTTAACCTGTAATATCCAACTACATTTGACAGTCAGGATTTAAAGATTAGTAGTATGAGTTCTTAGAATTTAAACTTTTCTGAAACTGGTAGTTGCACTTGCCTTAACCTGACAAAATAAAATCCCTTTGTATTTCACTCAGATTGTACAGTTTCTCTATGTCTTTGGTTAGAAAATTGTAAACTTTGTTTGAAACGAAAACAAAAATTGCTGGAAAAACTCAGCAGGTCTGGTAGCATCTGTGGAGAGAAACCAGAGTTAACATTTCGGGTTGAGTGACTCTTCTGAGGAAACGTTCTGATCTCTCTCCACAGAATATGCCAATTTCTGTTTTTGTTTCTGATTTACAGGACCCATAGATCTTTTGGTTTTTATTTTGTAAGCTTAGTTTGGTCTGGTTTAACTTTGTCAAGAACAACAATACTGATTTCTGATCATCCTTTGGACTTTCTGGTACCAGCTGGAAAACCCAGAAAAAATCTGTCATAACGCTTCATATTATCTGGAATCAGTCATGCCCTTGCTTCTTTAAAATCAGACACTCCATTGTCATTAGGATATTGGCCACTTAGCACACAATCTTCGAACCACCCTGTTCAGTTTCTAATTCCTGATCTCCATTCTCTTCAATGTCTGTATTTTTTTGTTAAACGGTCAGCTCTATAAAGAACGTTTCAACCAGCCACATATCCAAGTTGTCTTATTCCTAGCTGAATCTGGGGTTACTTTTATCTTTAAGTGTGTTTCCATGATATAAACATTATCGTATTTTTCAAAGAGATAAAGCTTATTTTTATTCATTTATGAGACGTGAGCTTCACATGCTAAGCCAGCAATGACCGTCCATCCCCAATTGTCCTGGAGAAGGAAGTAATGAACTACTGAAGTCGTTGGAATATAGGAATATCCACTGTGCTGTTATAAAGGAAGTTTCAGGATTTTGACCCATTAACATTGAAGGACCAGCAATATAGATCCATGTCAGGATCGAGTGTGCCTTGGAGAGCAACTTGCAGGTGTTGATGTCCCCTGCATCTGCTGCTCTTGTCCACCTAGGTGATAAAGCTTTGGAAGATACTGTCAAACGAGGCTTGGTGAGTTATTACACTGCAATTTTTACATAAATGTTCTCCAAACTTTCTAAATGTAAAATCACTTTCTGAATTCAACTAAAACCCAGGAACTAACCCAGAAAAAATATAGAATAAACAGTTTACTTTTAGTCCAATGTAAAACCAAATATATATAAAAGAGTTAGGTATTTAAGGGTTAAATCTTTAGCCATATAGTCAGAAATAAGCAAGCTAACAAAGTATATGGGAACTAACAAGAAAAAGCAATCAAACTCAAAAACAAAAATTGCTCGAAAAGCTCAGCAAGTCTGGCAGCGTCTGTGGAGGGAAAGCAGATTTAATGTTTTGGGTCCTTTGACCCTTCTTCAGAACAGTTCTGAACACTTCAGTTCTGAAGAAAGATTACTGGCCCTTAAATGTTAACTCTGCTTTCTCTCCAAAGAGGCTGCCAGACCTGCTGAGTTTTTCCAGCAATTTCTATTTTCATTTCTGAGTTTCAGCATTCACAATTCTTTGGTTATTTTGTTTAGTGCAACACATCCAGACTGTTAATATTATTAGCTAGCAAAAGCCTTGGGTGAGGAACAGATAATTCTGGCAAAGACCGTAAGAAACAAAGATAATCCTTTATCAATTTATCAAGTATCTGTACATCTACAACAATATATAATTATTAATTTTGTCCTCTACTCACCAAGTCTCAGTGTGACAACTGTGACTACATATTGTCTGCTAGTGCCTTGAAAGCTGGGTCATATACATTCCATCAAATAACTACATAGTAGGTGGATGAGGCACTTGAACTTGATTATTTTCATTCGGTAGAAGGCTGTCTTAGAGGTATGTGGAGCCAAAGTAAGCTTTCACTTTAAAATCACGGAGTGATAGAGTGGGTTTTCCGTTTACGAGTTCCCAAAAATCACTCTCCCTTGATCTGACTTTCGACTCAATATCATTTTGCATAATAATGATCTCCATATCAGCTCTACTGCTTTGTAAATGAAATACCCAGGTAGAATTTTGTAACCAACCCACCAGTGTCTCTTTGAAGGAATGGATTTAAGACAAACATGACAATTTGTTCCATCACGTTAAATTCCTGAAATCACCTGCTGAATTCCTCTGCTTATTTCCTCAGGTGTGAAACCATTTTCAGGGAAAAACCATTTTGCTTTGTCTTTGATTTCATCTATTATTTTCTCCAGATCCAGGAAATGTTACAGCATTTTACTTTTTTAATTGGGAGGACCACAAACCCATTCAACCTAAATGCAGTCACAACAGTGATCATATGTACCAAGTCTCTGTCCTTTCCCTGCAGTTCGGAGTTTAGCTTGTTCAGTTTCAACATTATGTCTGTTAGGAACTCAAGGTTGAGCAACCATGCATCATCTGACAGCTCACTGCAACACTTCATTCCTTGATTTTAAAAAAGTGACAATTTCAGGCATTAGATCTAAAAATCTTTACAGAGCCTTCCGTCAATGTAACTACCTCACATCAGCATGGAGTTACCTCACAATTGGCTGCATTGAGTCCATCCAGTAAGCTTAAACAAGCTGAAGCAATTTGAAACAATTTCATTCTTGCTTGAATTAAATGTACAATATTTACAATAACTTTCATTACATGTAAAAGGTCAATACTTTACTTGCTCATGCTTACTGCTGGATTATACAGAGGTAATTGAAAGAAAGGGGAATTCACGATCATTTCTGCAAAATGCAACAAAACGTATAATTGTGCCAAGCCAACATGGCGTAAGGTCAATTGTGATGGAAACCAACTTAATTAGAACATTTCTTTTCAATCACATACCTTCTCATAGAATCTCTACAGTGTGGAAGTAGGCCATTCAGCCAATCAAGTCCATACCAACCCTCTGAACAGCATCCCACCCAGGCCCACCTATCTTTAATTGAAACACTAATTTTCACAGCAATGTTACAGAAAGGATTTGGGGTAGTATTGTGGCATAGTGACTAGCATTGCTGCCTCTGATCCAGAATCTCCAGGTTCAAATTCCATTCCATGACTGGATAGCCAAGAAATGTGCATTCATAACACAGGCAAACAGGGTATACAACAACTTGTTAATCCTCCAACTGCAGTTGCATGAGTCAACAGTGGTCGAAATTTATGGTCTGTCATGTTTATTTCTATAGAATTTTTTTTATAGAATCCCTACTGTGTGGAAACAGGCCCTTCGGCTCAACAAGTCCACACCAACCCTCAGAGCATCCCACTCAGACCCATCCCCCAATAACCCACCTAATCTACACATCCCTGAACACTACGCGCAATTTAGCATGGCCAATCCACCTAGCGTGCACATCTTTGGACGGTGATGTGATGGAGAGAATTTGGAGCCCCTATCATCACTGTCCATAGTTCCAGCCTATATTATTCATGTGAAAGTGTATGTTGCCATCCGAACTTGGAATTTTGGAGGACCAGTTATGGTTAGTCCGCTAGCTAGACTGGTGTCAACACCACCAAGTTTAATCATGATTCTGGAAGAGTGGATTAGGACCATCGTGATGATATGAGTCAGACCTGCACTCAGACAGAGAACTCAAAAAGAAGAAAGAATATACAATTATCCCTGATGTCTTCACTTCTAATCAATCGTTCTATTAATATCCCTGTATCATGTCACCACTATGTCCTGTCTTTAAGCCCCAGCCCATTCAATCTTCAGTTCTGGTACCATTATGGTAAATTGTTTTTTACATTCCTTTGCACTCTATGTCATTTTGAGAATATACTTTTCTCCAAAATGCACGGATATGTACCACGTGGGCCTCAGGCTTTACTCTATTTTCATGGCCCAAAGGAGTAGTGCGCTATAAATCCTCCGATTCTCATCCGCTCTTTGGAAA